GATACACCTGCGTCTGCCTCCCAAGTGCTAGGATTAAAGGCGTGCACTACTACCGCCAAGCAAGCTGAGCTTTTTCTAAGGTTTGCAGGAAAAGGCACTCTACCAGTCTCCATGGTGATGATAAAGCCTGGTGCCACCAAGTTTCGAAGAGTTGGGCATCAGGAAGAGAGTTTGTTGGGGCAAACTACAGAAAGCTCTGAAACGGATCACTTAGTTGTGATAACATGTATTTCTCAAAACTGTAAATTCAAGCTCGTGGCTGTCCAAGTGTTAAAGTCCCCGGTTTCTTCCACAGTCCCAGGTTTCTCTATAGTGCAGGTTTTTCATGTCAGTTGGGCATCACCACAGAGATGAAGGGAGCAGAGATGACCCCATTATCAGGCTTCTTGTTAAAAATCGAGGTCTTTTTTCCTGAACATAGTCTCTTCACCTCTTTGGCTTGACCTGGATCATCCGTCTTTGAACTACTTTCATGTCAAGGGGAGGGGCTGCTAAGAGAATCTCGGAGTGGAAGTGGAAAGGAGATTGGGCATTCCACACAAACACCCACTGGTCTTGGAGTGAACTAATGACCATTTTTTTTTTATAAAAACAGGAAAATTTTCACTACCTGGTAGATCACAGTATTTAGGCTGTCACTTCCTTTCCTGGTAAGATAAGTTGACACAGACCCCACTATTCTCCTTGGCCTTAGGCATCATGCTCATGACTAGTACTGGCCAAGTCTCTGGGGCCCTTTTAGCCACCATGGCCTTGTATTCCACAGGAACTGCCTTAGCATGCGGCTTTCCCACAGTCTGAGCACTATGGTCCAAGCAAAATAAACTGATTTTTTTCTCACACACTACAAATCAGTGTTCCATAAATAATGTGCTCTTCCCACCTGCACCTCTGCAATGCGACTACAGATCTTTGCTGCCTGCCCCTTTGTCTCTGGGAGAGAAGATGATAGGAAGGTGAGAAATCAATTAGGTCACAAAAAATTAAGCACAGCAGAAGCGGAGCGACCACACGCGGGCCAACAGCCTTACTGCAGCAATTAGACAGCTCCACCAAGTAAGCCTTGAAACCACAGGAGTTGTTCTGACCCAGAAAGGCAGAGTGCTGCCTTTGCTGTCAGTCATGGTGACTTCCAGCCTGGGGGAACCGATTCGGTCCATGATGGAGCTGTGACATCTTTATTCATGCACACACAGCTCTCAAGAGCGTTCGCTGCAGGTGGCATGATATCTCGCCTTTTCCTTCATTCTTTCCTTGCATATATACTAATAGTTGAGCTGACATGCACCCCAAAGTGATGTGAGCATGAAATAATCTGAGATTTCCACGTTAGGAGCACATATGTGAAGTGTGTGTGTGTGTGTGTGTGTGTGTGAGAGAGAGAGAGAGAGAGAGAGAGAGAGAGAGACAGACAGACAGACAGAGAGAGAGAGAGAGAGAGAGAGAAGCATACAGTGGGACTGACAGACAGAGACAGAGATAAGAGACCATGACCCAGGCACACATGTGCCACATTATTGCCGGTTACTATTTGGGCTGCATGGCTCAACTATTCCAACATTTACCAAATATTTATTGTATGCCAGACTGGGGACCAAGAAAACAAAGGCAACAATCTGCATTAATTACTGCCAATTACATCACCCTAAACTATCCCAAGTGTTCCTTCGCCTGGGGTTGGCACAGATTCCTTCGCCCAGGGTTGGCACAGACAACTCTCCCAGGGCATGTCGGAAAGGAGAAATGATGGATGTGAAGGAGTTTGGACCAACCAAGGTAGGGTGATCCTGAAACTGCCATGAAGGTTCGTGGGTACAGAAGTGGGGTGTCATTTGGAAACAGTTAATACGGGGGAGCAGAAGGCACAAGGTGAGTGTGCATCAGTACTCTGGAGTGGCCAGTGCCAAGTTCTTCAGAACACATTAAAAATGGAGAAGGCTGTCTGTTAAGGAATATCTCTAAGGATATAGAACGGGGGAAATGAAAACCTTTTCACCTAAATGAGTGTTCGAATATATTTTACTTGAAGAACACAAAAGCGGTACCAAAGCACAAGCGTTTCCACTCTCTTGTAATGAAGGAAATGCAATCTAAAGCAAAAGGAAGAGTTAAATGTGGTGGCTTGCCTCTGTACTCCCACCACTTGTGAGGCTGAAACGGGTGCTGCAAGAGTCCTAGGCTAGCCTGGGCTACATAGTGACTTGTGGGATGGATGGTCTGGGTTACAGAATGACGTTTTCTCAAAGTCTCCCACACAATCTTGGTTCTCCCAAACAGAACAAACAAAACACCCCAAACAAAAAATAAAACAACATAATAATAAACTAACAAATAAATACCCGGAGAAATATTACAATATATTTTTTGCCTGTTATCATAGTGAACTTAAAAACATAAACTGAGCGTGGATTAGGAGTTATGAGGCATGGCTCCTACCACAGTGAGTGAACGTCATTGGGTTGTTTCTTAGTTTAGGGATGCATGGAGTTAAGAGTTCATTTAATGTGACATGAAAGAGGTATCAACAACAGAATCAAGAGAGGTTAGAATAAAAAAAAAAACGAAGGAAGTTGGAGAGAGACAGAAAAAGAGAGGGGGAGAAACAGAAAGACACAGAGAGATACAGACAGAGACAGAGATGGAGACAGGAAGAGGGAGTATAGTCAGTGCAATGTGTGCCTGAGCTTGGTTACGAGGTGGAGGATGCCTTGCCCCCTCCCCCAGAGAGAGAAGCCAGTTCTCAGCCTAGGAGAACTAGGAGCAAAGCTGACCCTCTGGCTTCCAAGAACCTCAAGGACATGGAAGAAGACCAATAGCCAAGAAACAGAAGAAGCTGTAATGGAGGCCCTGGTGTGCTGGGAGTGGAATGAAACCTTCTCTGAAATTACTTCCCAAACAAATTCAGTCTTGACTTTTGAAGTACACTTACAAACCAGGAGTTTAAGCAACAGGCAGGCTGGAGAAGCCATGCTGCTGCAGAAAGCAGCCAAAGGAATGTGGGAACGATGACACGTGAGAGTCACAGATCTCCTGACAAATAAGCCAGGAAAGGGCCACCTAGTGCTGTGCAGGTCTCCTGCTGCAGGCACCTGCTTGGTGGGTGGCGACTCAGGAGGAATGGGTGGCAAGTTAATCAGGAGTGAAGCCCCACCCAAGCCTCGCCCTGGTACTGAGCTGTGCTGGGCACTCCTACTAGCTTTTCTACTTTAAGCATCGACTCTCTCCTTTCACTCAGTTCCTTCCAGCAGGGTTGCGAAGACTTACCTCGGTGACGTGTAAACTTTGACCTTCATCTTGCTACCCAGCCTTCTCTGATTCAAGTTGGTGAAGAGGACAGAAGGAAGTTGAAACAAATGTTAAATGCTAATTTGTCGGTTTGGGGGAAGATGACTGGTCACCCACCTCGAATGAGGTAGTGACCTGGCTGTCTTGATCTCTGCCACTGCTGCCGCCTTTAGCTTCCTTTTGCTGTAAGGCATGACTTGAGAAAACGTCAGAGCTGCATGGTGAGGCTTTGCCCTTCCTCCCAATCTTAGGCTTTCAGGAGACTAAAGATGGCACCGAGCACAAAGCAAGTCTGGGTACACTTAGGGACAGCCACGCTGATGATAAGTAAAACAGATGTCCATTAGAGTAATGAGGTGTATTGTCCTAGCTCACAATTTGAGAAAGATCAAATAAAGAAAGGGTACTACCTTTCTCTGGGCTTGGAGAAGAGACAAGAGCCCCTCACATTGTCTACCAGAACTCAAGTTTGTAGAGTGTTCTGCACAGGCACCGACATTCCTAAATGTGAGCTGTCTTTGTCCTGGGAATCCTGCTACATGTGTTCTAGGCAACGAGGGGTGCATTCAGAATTTTAATTACAGGGATTTATTATTATTATTATTATTATTATTATTATTATTATTATTATTATTTCTTTCACTGCCTGTGTACTGCCACAACCCAAAGGCTGACTTTGCTTTTCCTATGACTTGATGATCCGTCTGGGTAGGTAAGGGACTCTCAAAAACTTGTGGACTACCATGGGCCACATGCACAGCCGCCACGGGAGCTCTCTCCATGTGCCACATGCATACAGATAGGACTACTGTTGCCCAAGTGTCTTGCTGTGTGAGTGAGTGGGACCCTACCTGGAGTAGGCTGCTGGGATCTTCTGTGGCCTCAGGACCAAGGGAGTGTTCTGGGACGTGATTACCAAGACCTTTTGCAATAAACTGCCCCTCTTTGTTCTTCCAGCCATGGGAGGGGGTCATTACTTACTTCTTCCTGAGAGACACTGCCTGCCTGCTCCCTTACTGCCTCCAGCCATTTCTAGCCTTTGGTCAGCCTTGGAACCTGCTTTTCCCCTTACATTCACGTTCTCTTCCTGGAGTTCTTTTGTCCTTCAGTGGTACAAGTGTTGGGTACCAGTTTTGACAAGTATAACATCTTCATGCTCTTTTCTAACTTTTCTAAGCCCCGTGCATGCCCCTGCCCTGGTAAGCGGTATATGTGTCAAAACTGGTCCCTGACATACAAGAAGTGCTAGTGACATCCAATCTCAGAGCCATATCCTCAAGCATGTACCCATATACTATTGTATTTTTGTTCAATTTGTTTTAAGTATGTCTGTCTTTTAATCTTCAAGATCCCTGAAGCTATTATTATAATTTGTATCTGAAAGGTCACATGGTGTAGGGGAAAAACAGGATATGTAATTAGACAGACCAGAATTTCAAACTTGTGTGATATTAAGTTCCTTAACTTCTCTGATCTTAAGTTTTACTTAATCAAGTAATTGATTTCACAGGATAGCATTGTAAAAGATGGGAACAGCCACTTGACACAATGCATGTGTATGAGCACACTCCCTGTCAACATTCTCCTTTCCCAAACTCTGATGCAGGAGATTAGCCCATGATAGTATTAGATAGAATCCTGCATCCCAACAAGTCCTCACAAGGACTTAGGACCAATGACTAACCTGAAGGTGTGGCATTCAGCCCCCTTCTCACCTGATAATTGTCAGTGGGATGAAGTACACCAGAAAGGCCACAATGGTCATGTATGGAGTCCAGTAGGAGTCATCTGGCCACAGTGCCCAGCACTGCACCTCACCATTGGCGAGCGTCCTTTTTCCGAATATGAAGAGTGTGGGGACAGAAAACAGGAACGCGAGGCTCCAGGCTATCCCGATGAGGACTTTGGCTTGCTTCTCTGCTTAGAGAAAAGAGAAAGATGCCTGGGCACCTGGGAACACACTTGGGGAAGCACACAGGGTCCACTATTGGGGACTGATTTCTGAGAGCCACTTGGACCTGCCAGTGCCCCCATAAGCCTCAGTTTCCTCATAAGTAAATGGGTGTGATCCCTCTGCTGCAGGGTGCAGTTCCCACATGGGGGTGCAGGCCCACCTGCATCCCACTGTATAGAGCTGCAAGAACATTCTTCTTTTAATCTCATTTAGCTGACTGGTACAATTTCCTCTCCTCATGTTTAATCTTGCAGTTCCTTAATTAGCAGTCCAAATGAACACTTCTGTGTGTCTCCTAATTATATCTTTGTTTCTTGATCTGTGTTCATGTCTTTTTTTTTTTCAGTTGATGTTCTTAAGTCTTTGCCAAATTTGTCATAAGAAAGATATTAGCTCTTCATCTTTTTTTTCTTTTGGTACAAATTTCCGCGTGTCCTTGTGCTGCTGTTCATGATTTTTATTTGTATAAGTCATTTAAGACCTTGATGAAGCGACACACGTGTTCCTTTACTGCTTCTGCTCTCAGCGTGATTCCTAGAGAGACCCTTTTCATGTTACGATGATGGAAGGTTTGTCATTATGTTCTCCTAGTCCTTCATGTTTGAATGACTGGCTTTCCTGGCCCAACAGGGTCTGCTTTTAATTAGCTGTGACACGGGGAATTGATGTTTTCAGCTGGCTAGAGAGCTAGTCCAATTTTATGTATTAACAAAGCCATTCTTTAACAACTGATTTAAAGTTCTATTTGCTCTGTGTGTGTGTGTGTGTGTGTGTGTGTGTGAGAGAGAGAGAGAGAGAGAGAGAGAGAGAGAGAGAGAGAGAGAGAGAGAGAAAGAGAGAGAGAGAATATGTGTGTGTGAACGTGCAAATTCTTTGGGATGCATTTTAAATACATTATTTATTGTTTCCAGTTTAGTTTTTATTACATTTAAAAGATATCCATTTCCCCCTGTCTTTACAGTGAAATTTAAGTTCCTGTAAGTTTAGGAGTTCATGAGGCCAGGTCAGCTTTGTGCCAACCAGAAGGCAGCTAGCTGGTCCTGTACAGTGCTCACCACCACTCACTGATGGTTCCTGAGACCCTGGAGAGTCTCTTCATCTACAGCATCTTAGGGTTACTCCACCTGTAAGTAGAGGTTCCATTCCTCCCACCTGGTCAGAGTGCAGAAGACAGGAACTGGATGTGGTTGAACCTTCCTGATGTCTCCACATCTCAGGACTGCCAGCTTCCTGAGCTCTGCCTCCCCTGTACACTGCCCTGTACACTGGACACCATGAAGAAACACTCCTAGCCCCACTCACTACTGAGAGCATCAATTGGAGGTGTTATGTACCATCTCCAATTTTCTTTCAGGTTTCCTGGACCAAGGAGAAGTTCCTTTGTTTTCAAAACTACTTTTCCAGTTTTGTTGACTTGGGGTAAGTGGGGGGCGGGGGGGGGCAGGTGTTTGTCTCTTGAAAATGAAGACTATGAAGAGACAATACTCATTTCATCATAGGGTATGCCTGCTGGCAGGGATATAAGGAATGACTACACTCATTTCATCATAAGGTATGCCTGCTGGTAGGGCTTTAAGGAACTAGGTGAAAACACTTCCTAGTGTCCTTGGACATCCACCAAGGATGTCCCATATGGGACCAGGATCAGGTAGCACTCCCCAAGTACCCACATATTTTTTTATATTTGTGGACTCTCAAATGCATTAGGCAGTGTTGGAAGAGGAGAAAGAGAAGAAAGAGAAGAGAAGGAAAAGTGGGGCGTGATTGGAGCAGATAACAATATTAATAAAATATTAGCAAAAAGAATCCCACCCCATGAAAAGATCTTTATGAAAGAGTGCTTGCTCACCTCCTTGAAGAAACTTCATGGGGTAAACGATGGCATGGTATCTGTCTATGCTCAGGGACACCAGGACGTAGGTAGAGGCATAGAGCAGGACAACCTAAGGACAGGAGCCAGAGGACACACGTGACTTCACCTGGGAGAGGACATGCACATAGTATTCTTGCTATTTAGAAACCAGGGGATTGAACTAAGGTGCTGGAGAGGGTTGAGGTGGAGGCGCTGCCTGGCCCTCCCTGCTGGAAGCAGATCTGGGCTTTGCTGTTTAACTTTGCATTGCTCCTGAAGATGAGTGAGAATGATCAAAGCTTCCTCCATGCGTTCACTGGCTTCTAGGAAATTCCACATTTCAGGATCAGTCTCTCTTGACATTTGCCTGGTACACTTATCTATAATTGACTTTTAAAGCTAAACTAATTTCCTATGCCACAATTGACATTCCAGAATCATTAGAAACAAAAGTTCATTTGCCTTTTATTAGTGAGAGTAGCTGAGAGGAAACAGAAGGGTTCTGGTTCCCTGGAGTCTGCATGCTGCTCCAGTCATTGACCCTAGCATCACCCTCAGAGAGCTCACCCCTTCCTCCAGGGCTCTAGCAGAGCTGTATGAGGCCAAAGCTTCTGAGCCTTGCTTCCCTCCTCTGACTCTCCTTTGAATAACCTCATCCACACCCTCTCAATCCCTCGGGCACAGTCTTAACTGTATTCTCTGTAGAGGAAGAAATTGGAATGCAAGTTAACATCTCTTCTGTGACAGGTTCATATTTAGAATATATCTAGATTAAATACGTCAGGGAGTCTGATCTCAATGAAAATATTCTGAGTAACTGAAGCCAATGAGACATTTCCTTTTGTGGATCTAATATAGGGGTCACAGACAATGAGAGTGGAGGGCTGAGAGTCTGGCTATTTCTTTGGTTATCACATTTGTTTGGAGTTTGTACCTTTGTTGTTCTTTCTGTAGAGTAAACACATTATAGCCACATTATGTAGAAATAGGAGCGGCGGGGCTGCGTCCCCAGCACCCCGGCCACCTGGCTAGCTTATGCCCGAAATAACAATACACAAACTGTATTCACTTAAACACTGCTTGGCCCATTTCTATCTAGCCTCTTCTAGGCTAATTCTAACATATTAATTTAGCCCATTTTAATAATGTGTTTAAGCACCCCAAGGTGCGCTTACCGGGAAGATTCTAGCCTACGTACATCCTGGGTGGGAGCTGCCTCGCATGTGTCTCTGAGAGCAGAGCTATCTCGCGTCTCTCTGAGGAGTCTTACCTCACTTCCTCTTCCTCCTGTTTACTCCTCCCACCTATGTTTTAACCTATCAGGGCAAGCAGTTTCTTTATTTAATTAACCAATGAAATCAACAGATTGATATATGACACTCCCACATCAACATTATAACCAACTATAGTAGATCAACCCATTATATTTGCTTCTGCTATTGAGTTAAAGCTATTGCTACCTGAAATGTGGTCATGGGATTAAGCATTTGACAACACTAATTCTGTGAACATCATAGCTTATCCTGCTTTACACATGTTGAGAGTAGCTATCTGAGCCTCCAATTAGGCAAAACCATCACACATACAGGCTGTCTCATACTACAGAGGGAGCTAGCTCCTGTGCTGCGGTGGCTATGGTGCTGAACCAGAAGACCGTGATCACGAGGGTGTCCTATCACACAGTTTAAAAATCACAGACTGGGCCATCAGAAGTCGGGGACCATCTGCATAATTCTTTATTTTTTTTTATCTCTGTAATATAACCACAAATGCATTCCAGCTCTAATGTTGCAGAGAGAGGTTGTAAAGAACAATCAGGAACTGCCGCTCCCTCCCCTTTGACACATCAAGAGAAATCTTAGTGTATGTGTGCAAAGAGTAACCAAGGGAAAAACTGAAAGAATTTGATTAAGTTTAAAGAAAAATAGTCAAAGCAATGAATGCCTCCTTCGAGGCTGCTGTTTCTGTGTGTAAACCATGGATTTAGAGTCATCTGGGTGACCACACAGTGCCAAGAAGGTGGCATCGAAGGATGGGAAGGGGGACAGCAGGGAAGAAGACCATGGTGAACAGTTTCTAAGAGTCTTGAACATCTGTGCTGTTTCGAGTGAGGTGGTAACACAGTTCACAATCTGGGATGGAAGGAAAAGTGACCAAAAATAGATTTTCAGGGCTACAGGCAATATTCACAAAGGCGAGATTAACGTTGAGACACAACCAAAAGGAGTATTCAGCTTTGTGGCTGAAACATCTTCACGCATCTAGGAGCAGCAAAACGAAATAAGCATATCTACGAGAAATACATCGCAAATTATGCTTCTGCATAAAAAAGAAAATGCCAGAAAATGTGTTCAGGGTTTTGAAAGAAAAGTTGTGATCCAAGAATCTTGTAAATTTCAGTTTGGTGCCAATGCACAGAACAGCTTTTTTTTGGATAACTACGAAGGAAGGAAATATAACACCCCAAATTCCTGCCAAAGTTTTCAAGAGGAAACACGAGCTGAATAAGAACTATTTCAAAATTAAAAAGAAGGGATAAAATCACAATGCCATGTAAGAAAGGCATCAAAATACAAAATGCTTACATGATGGCAATATAAGGATGGAAAATTCCAGGGAGGAATCTGGGGAGTGGTGTGAGAGGAGAGTGTGAAAGAGAGGTGTTGGTAAGTCCCAGCTTTGATATTTAGATAGTTCTCTATCTGCCTTTGATAGAGATGTATCTAAAAAAGAAAGGTAAGTTATAATGAAATGAACTTAAAATGGATGAAAATGAATTCCTCTTTCTTCTGCGGTTACTGTAGCTACAAGTTTCATAGCTTAAATGTCAGTTCATTCTCTCACAGTTCTGGAGATCAGAAGTATAGAACAATTCTACTAGCCCTATACCAAGATGCTAGCAGGCCGTGCCTCTTCTGGTGACTCTAGGGGAGAATCCATCCCCAGTGTCTGAGCTCCAGTAGCTGCCAGTACCTAACCTTGTGGCCTACATTGCAATCCCGTGCCCTGTGCTACAGGGTCCTCCCTATTGTTGTTTGTCAGATCTGTATTTTCCTCTTATGATTCCATTTTAGGATTTCCTGAACTAATTTCCAATCCTTAGTCATACATGCCAATCCTCTTTTGTCACATCTGGTGCGTAGCAGGTGTAAGTTCCAAGGGTTAGGGTACAGATGTCCTGGGAGATATATTTTCCACTTCCCACAGTAAATAACTGCTTCTGAAACAAACACTCAAAGAGCAAAACTTTAAAGGAAACAGTGGCAGTGAGGTACCGGAATAATACTAGGCACTGTTTCCCATTGTAAATGTAAATGACTTGATCTCTTTCATTAAAACAAAGACATTTAAAACAAATAACTTCCCCATGGTCTAAGTGTACTCTATTCAGAATAGTAACCAATAAAATCAAATAACATTGAAATTTATCATTAAAGCAGTGGTCAGGGGCATATCAAATAACTAGTATGATTTTAAAGGCCTTTATTAAAACGTACTGCATGATACCAATCAAATTCAGAGCTAGCTGCATCCCGTGTGACAAAGTGATACAACACAAGTGGCCATAGACTACTGATAACTTAGATGTAATTAGTGAGGCAGCACTAAATAGATGTAACAAAAATAATGTGCAAGGCTTTCCAGGCAAACAGTCTAAAAATGCAAATAGGAAAAAATGAGCTCCACAGTATAGAATGCAAACTATCTAGCCTCTACATGACATCCAAAAATTTGGTCAGATACTGAATTGCCAACAACGGAAAATTTTCAGTAGGGATCCAAAAAGTAGGCCATATTCAACTCACATATCTCAAGCAAGTGATGAAGCTGAAATAAGTAACACTTGAAAAATACCACTTGGAAATCTAAACATCTTCATAATTAACTCAAGCAAAGACGGAAATCACAGTACAATTATAGTCAATTCATAAATGTCAACAATGGGAACTCTACACACCAACAGCATATGGGGTGCCATTCATAGAGCAGATGGCAGCCTGAGGACAAGTCTGCCTTCTTGCCACCCCACCCCCAACTCTCACAGACGTGACCCAGGGAATGTGACGTGCAGGGGATTCTACATGCAGGGAAATGAGACTTAAATGCTGAGAGCGGAGAGACTTTACTCAGAAAAATGCCAGACTGTGCTCATGTAAACTAGTATTCTTGGGCTGACTTTAAAATCATGTACTTGATGTACTAAAGAAAGTGTAGGTTTACAAAATCCCACAAATAGTAACAGAGGATTCCTGTGTTTCCCACATCACATTGACACACAGCCCCTGGTGTTAATATCTGACATTGGTGTGGCATTAAACTCATTCATCAACCTTGATACATTATCAATAACTAAGGTTCTGTCTTTGTCACTACATTCTGTGGGCTTTGACAGTGGCGTGTGGGACATAGTCACCATCAACTTTATCCAGATGAGCATCACTGAACTAGCAATGCCCTAAGTGTGTCTAGTCATTCTTTCTTCTTACAAATCCCTGGAAACCATTGATTTATTTTCTCTAACACAGCTTTGCTTTTCTGAGGTTGTGCCACAGCTGAAGTCCCATGGTGTTTAGCTGACCAAGGGGCTCCCCCCTCTAAATATGTGCTTTACTATTCGTCCATGTGCTTTGGCAGCTTATTTTCATATTCCATGGACATGACATGTTTTGTTCATCCATTGAATTGTTGATGGACATCTCAGTTAGTACCAGTTTTTGGTGATTATTACTGCAGCTACTAAAACTATCTTTATGCAGGTTTTTGTGTGGACATAAGCCATACACTCAATTGCACAAACATCTATAATCATCATTGCCCAACTATATAGTGAGATTATGCTTAACTTTGTAAGAACCCATCAAACTAGTTTTCACTTTTAGGTCTCTCAACAGCGAGTGCAAGTTCTTGTTAATACAAATCCTTACCCATGTTTGGTATTATTAGCTTCTCTTTAAGTTAGCCACTGTATACTACAGGAGTAGTGGTACCTTATTGTTCTGATTAGCAATTCCCTAATGAAATGCATGTTTGCCATTTTCAGTGATGTTCCTATTTTTCCCTATTTTAAGAGGGTTGCTTTTATGTTGTTGT